CCAGAGTCCAGGGCGTCCACTCCACTCACCCTGCCCGCGGTCACCCTTATCCCCTTTCACCCCATCTTCCCTCAGCCCCAAACCCGAGCACTCCCCCCTGAAGCCGTCTTCACCTGTACCTTACGGCAGCCCAGCTTCACAGTCACGCTCCCCCACCCAGTCACCTGTATCCAAAGAAATGGCCAATAGGTGGCCCTCCAAAACTGCGTCACCCACCAACTTGAACAGCCACTGGGCTGGGACACAGTCAGCCACCCAGAGCTCCGCAGCTAGAGCTGTTTCACCATCCACTCAGTCGTCAGCATCCGTACACAGAACAGGAGCAACCACAGCGAACACTCCCAGATACACTGACCCCCCACAGGTCCGCTCTCACTGCACTGCCGTAGATAGTCACTGCATGTCCACACCCTTGGTGGTACTGTTTGTGTTGATAGGAATGTTGTTTATCATTCTTTATTTCATAATGCCTGACATGAGGTTTTATTTTTTAACTTCTTCTAGAGTCTGATACCAAACCAGGCTGCTCGGACTCATCCACACGTTAACTCGCTGCCGCCAACACGAGTGCCAAACAACCCTAATTCATCAGTGGTGCAACGCCAACCGTACGTCTCCACATTTTTATTTGTCCACATTGTTGCATTACAGAACAAGTGTTGCAGTTTTGCTGAGTTTGTGGCTCAGACCATTTGTTTGTCTGTTCTCTATTTTAGATATAAAGCTGTTTACAACTACAAACCACAGAATTCAGATGAGTTGGAGCTGAGAGAAGGAGACATTGTACAAGTGATGGAGAAATGTGATGATGGATGGTTTGTAGGTAAGAACTAAATGGATTTATTTTAAAATCACAACTCAGCTACTTATACAGCACCTTTCATATGAACATGCAGCCTGACATGCTTTACACAGCAAAATCGATACAATACAGATAAAAATAAAGGATATAAATAAACACCAAAAATATATTATGTAAAATAAAAATAAAATAAAAATAAACACCACATGTAAAATTAAGTAAAAACAAACAAACAAACAAAAAACAGGGATTGAAACCTCAAAATTAATACTGTAACATTACTCCATATTAAAATAAAAAGATAAGAATTTAATGTCCTTTTAAAGAAAAGAAAAAACAAACAAACAAAGAATGCAGTTTTCCAGTGTACGTTACGCCAATAAACTGTCCTTGGAAACAGCATAATGGAGCAGGACATTACATAAAAATGGATGACAAAATAAAGAAAATAAAAATGTCCTGGCTGTGGGCCACCAGGAGCCTCAAAAACATCTTTAATGCTTCTACTGAAGGGATTTAACATCAGTTTTTCCAAAAGATAAATCAATCAGATTCCCTCATTTGGTGTTTTTATGATATGATAAAGGACACTGGCGAACACGTCACTCCAGCATCTGCATTCACTATTTTCATTGAAATTTAATTCAGGTCTTCCTTTAAAGGTCTAGTGTGTAAGATTAAGTGGCATCTAGTGATGAGGTTGCAGATGACAACCAACTAAAGCTAGTCCTGTGTGCCAAGCGTGTAGGAGAACTATGGTGGCCATGAATGGCCCTATCTAGAGCCAGTGTTTGTCCGTTCAGGGCTACTGTAGAACAACATGGTGGACACCGCCATTTGTAGATATAAAAGGCTCATTCTGAGGTGACGAAAACACAATGGTTCTTCGTTTGAGGTGATTTTACACTGATGAAAACATAGTAATGAATATTATATTCCATTTCTACCGATACATCCCCCTAAATCCTATATTTTTAATTTGTCACCCCTCTGTATGTCAATGCAATGGGGCATCAGTTAGGGACAGGTATATCAAAACATGCTGCAGTGTTAGTCCGCCCTCTAGTGGACACCATGAAACATTACAGATGTAATTGACAGCAAATTTACAGTGAACTGTGAATTGCTTTAGTTTTAGAATACAGACAAACATACATTTTCATGTTTCTGTTGTATGACCGCAGTGTGTGCTCTGTTCTCCGTAGGTACGTCAGAACGGACTCGTGCTTTTGGGACTTTTCCTGGGAATTACGTGGCACCTCTTTGACCTCCTCACTTCCCGCTTGCCTACATCCACCTGGACTCTTACTAAGAGCCCAGACAGTTACTCACTCAGCTCTATCCAGCAGTTCCTGCTTTGACACCCCAGCATTTCTTTATCCTATTACCCCACCACACTCCATATGTCAGACCTGCATGTTCAGTCTGTTCCCCAGAACAGAGGTGAACGCAGGGACATTGAGTGGTTTTTCACCTCACCTCCCTGCATGAGTGCATGTGTGTGTGTGTGTGTGTGTGTGTGTTCCACTGAGACTTGCAGAGTGTTTTCACACACACCACTTGAGAGGAAAGAATGAATGCTGATGATACTGTTTCAGACGCGAAGAATGGACGTTTTTGTTCCACAACGATTTGCAGCTGCAGGAAATTTGCATTCCTTCCCAGTGACCAGCACTGTTCCCTCTGAGGTCCTGATACAGTATGATGCTGCATTCAGCTTTTTGTCACCACAGTGCCATCACAAACCACTGCTGAGTATTTATACATGAGGACAGCACATTTTTCAGACATTGCGACGGACTAATGTTTGCTTCAAATATCTTCCTCAGATTTTCTTGCAGATCTCTGAAAATACCCTGGGGAAGATTAAGGAAACAACACAAACATCTGTAGATATGTGCTTAAAGAAATGCACAGTGAGGGCTCGGACATGTCAAGAGAAGTTTACAGCCTTTCGCAAGGCTATGCAGAGGAGCAAATATAATTAATGCATGTAAGCAAGTTGTTCATTAGAAAGTAATTGGCTTTTTGGATGTTGCTCTCAAGCCATGGAGTGGAATGCCGAATGTGAAAGTGAAGAGATAGATTCTGTGCTGTAAGAGAAGTTGCTTTGCTCTAAAATATAATATCAGACCTCTGTAAGTTGTACAAGATCAGCTCTGTCGAATAAGTTAAATCTGGACAATGCCTCCACAGCAAATGGTTGAATGATCTTTTAAAGTGTTGGATGTAATGCTTTATCTGCCAAATCTTACATTTCATGACATTTCTCTTTTAAATTCTCCATGAAACAATCCCAGCTCACTTTATTTCTGCTTTCATGTTTTCTCTGCTTTCGGGGTTAACATTCTCACTTTGACAGTATTTCCAAATCACTTATATTTGTACCAATGCAACCATTGACAAGTGTGACCTAATTAGAAATCCTTTACATGAGGTCATTTTGCAATTTTATATGAGATATTCATTATTTCACTGTAAAAAAATGAATCATATTTAGTAGACATGATTGTACAGACTGTAACCTTTTAACAAATTGAAAGTATAATATATATTTGCTTATAAAACAATGTATCTCATCTATGGTACGCAATTTTTTTTTAAAGCAATTAAACATTACAGAGTGATACTGAGAGTAGCTTGTGTTCATGTGGTCATTTTGATAAATACTTTTCATATATGTTAATTTCACAAACACTTAAGTATGGAGCTGATCAGGGAAGACCGGGGGAATGTCACCTTCATAGCTTCAGCATACAGGTATTTGTATTGAACCTTGCAAATGTGCACCTATCCCATAACATAAGTGGCAACCACAACAATATGAAAGTACATTCACACAAATAAACAAATTCTGACTTCTTTCTCATCTGCATGAACTCCTCTCTGAACTTAAGGGAGAGGGAGGCATGTACTGTACTACGCTGATCACATGTATCCTGAATGGTTTGTCTGATATTGTAACAACCATCCTTCTTCTTTACATCTCGAAGAATATTTTTAAAAAATCATCAAGCTAAAGTAAAACACTAATACAATCAAGGCACACATGCTCATACAAAACACGTGTGTAGCAGAAACAGACAAAAAGGTCAACAAGATTCAAGATAAGACATTTAATTCATACTGGGAAAAGCAGTAGAAATTTCAAAAATAAAAACTTTATTTATATATGACAAAAAAAGAATGTAATGATATGATATGAAAAACAAAAAAAGATAAAGTAAAATTCAGTTAAAACTACAGGCTAAGATAAGATAAAACAACCATCAGTTAAAAAAACATTTCAGGAGAAAGCAATGGTAAAAAGATGTTTCTTAAGATTATGTTTAAAACTTTCAACAGATGTAGAGCCCTTAAGACCCTCAGACAGACTGTTCCAGAGTTTAGAGCCAAAACTGACACAGGCTTCCTCTCCATGCCTTTTAGTTCTGACCTCTGGAACAATCAAATGGAGATAAATTGTTAATCTCAATGATGTAGTAAGTAAATACCATTAATTGTGAAATTATGTTAATTGTAAGTGGCTAGTTGTGTCTGACAAGAATTTAATATTATTGTAAGATTAAGATAATATAAAATCTGATATGGCTTATTTTAAAATATAAATAAAAACAACAAAATAAAACAAAACAACTAAACAAAATAGCAAATGAGAACATAATTATTTTAAAAAATATATTAAAAATTATTATTATTACTATCATATGGAGCACCTTTCAGTTGTAAATAATGTCTCAAATGGCTCTTTATTGTGTTATTTATTTGTTTTGTTGTGTATTTGTATTTTGTGTGAGTGTAATGTCTCTATTCTTTGTTTATAAGCTAATTAGGTCATAACTTATTATTAGTGGTTATAGTAGGCGTTGTGTGCTTGATTCACTTTTGTGCTTCTCTGCATCACCTGCGACATTTATTTGATACAAACCAGTTTTAAAGTCTAACCATGTCATCAGTTTGCACCTGTGACGCCAGGTGAAAGCCATCAACGTCAATTAACAAGCTGGAAACTGGGAGGACAGAGAGGGGAACTACGTCATCACTTAATTGATGTGACTCAGGTTGGAGCGCGCGCTGCTCTGCTCTGCTCTGCACTGCCAGCAGGTGGCGCGCGGACACAAAACGCAGCCTCAGTGTGTTTTCAGGATAAATGGCTCAATTATCACCGCGGCACCCTCCTCTCCTCCTCTCCTCTCCTACCTCCTCCCTGCTGCGACACGCCCAGTTATGCTGCCCGTGTCAAACCTTTTATTTTGGTAATAGCACATGGCACCGCGAGCTCATCCCAGTGATACCACTGCGCGCGCAGCCACAGGTGGTGTTCATGCGTGCCACCTTCACATCTGAAGCAACAGAAGAAGAGAGACGGGGTACTAGCAGCGCTTCATCACCGCTTCACTGACGGAGGAAACTCATAAAGCTGCTTTCTGCTTTGTTGGGAGCGGGTGTTGTTGGAGGCTAAGGTGAAGTGGGACCTACTGTCTGCTGGGTGTGTGTTCAGGGCTTTGTCGAGGAGCGCGCCGAGGTTTAACAGGTGGAGAAGGCACATTAAATCACTGCACTCACCTTGGTAAGTAAACATGGCGTTATTAAAAGTGTCTCATCGTCCATATAGTCTCTTGGCTAACTCAGAAAAACTGTATTTCATTTGAAGCAAAACTTTTATTAGTTGGGGTGCTAAGTAAGTGTCCTTATCTCACTTTTATTGTCTAATGGCATCATCATATATCACACTTCTGTCTGTAACGTACATGCTAGGTTGCGTTAATGGCAGGCAGTGTGATATATTATAGATTTATTGTAGTTATTAAACCCCAGAGACTCATAACTGTTCATAAAAAGTGTGGGAACCTCAGAGAATGCGCTGAAGCCTCGCTAAATATGATTGATGCCAAGTATGCGCAGTTAAAGTATGCGCTACTAACATATGAGCTATTTTGCCAAGTGATGCGTGACATAAGTGGAAATTAAAAGTCAGTCTAACTGACTAGAAGGTCCTGAGCCCACACAGAGAGCATGTTTCCAGCACCTACTGTAGACCTTCCACCCTGTTAATGCATCTGTATCCAGGAGAGCAGGGGAGGTTATTTGTTGCACATTAAGCAGTCAATGTGATTTGTGGAGGGGCTGGACCAGGTGCAACCTCAGCAGTCTTTCAAGCCACTATTTATGTCACATTAGTTCAACTGGTGAAGCTGTTATCTTCTCTCTCCTCCTCTCAAAGTGTTGAGGGTCCACTGTAGTTCAAGTTCAACACTGTAATATCCTCACTGTCTTTCCTTATAAGTGTCTAGACATGGCTGCTCCTTCCATTCACTTAATCATACATTTGGAAATAAGTAGACCTGGCTTCTGAGCTCAACAGGTGGGAAAGTACTTTGAGGTGTATAATCCAGAACAGTCCCAATGAAGCCTCATATTCCCAGACCCCCAGCGCCTGCTGTTTGTGTACCTTCCCCATTGTGATTGGACGCTGCTGCCTTTCATGTGCATGCTCTACCTCCTCTCACTTTATAGTGTGTTTGTTCCCTGGTGCTTTTTTTGTTTGTTAGAGAACACCATGCCGTTACTCATAGGATACAGCTAAAGCCATCCAGGAACCAAAAACAGACCACTGTAATTTTGGAAAGAGCAAAGCAGTGGCTTTTTAAGAAAACAGGGAGAACTTGTTACTGTACCTTCTAACTCAGGGAAGGAATTTGTTTGTTTTACATTGCATTGAGGTTTTAACCGAAGCAAAGAACATTACAGTCTTCTTTTTTAGTTCTGCTAAGTAGTACTGTGTCGTAGCAGCTTTTCACTGTGATGAAGATGTTTACAGTTATGCAGGAAGTTAGTATTATCTGTTAAGTCTGAATGATGAAAGCATTTTTTTTGGCGTGTGGTTTTCAGCTTTAGCTGAGGCAGAAGCATGGCAGGATATTTCTGACTGTTCTGTCTTTCACGTGACATCAAATTTAGTAGAAACAGCAGTTTGTGTGGCAGAGGATGTTTCTTACCAAGGTGCACCGTTGCCACAGTGTAGCTCAAGAGCGTGCATGTCAAGAACAAAGTGACAGTTAGTGTGTCTTTTGTGAGGAGGGCCTAATGGTGCATGCAGAGGATGTGGTGAAGCGGCCTGATTGCCGAGCAGCAGTGTGGAGTCTGTTCAGTGTGAACAGCAGAAACATGATCTCCAGATGACGATGATGCAGAGGGAGATAAGTGGAGCCACTACCACAGTGTCCTTGTCTTGTTAAAAACCAAACTCCACAGCGGACACAATCCAGCCCACTGTAGCAGCGCTGCAGCAAAGTGCTCATGAGTGATTTGATTTGATTTCACTTTATCATCAGGTAAAATTCTGACATTTGTCCTGCGTCTCAGGACGTCAGCTGTTTCACATAGATACACAGAACACAAAGCAACATTTAACCAAACAACAAAGCCATACTACAGGGTTCCCATGGCTGTACAATTCCTGGAAAAGTTATGAAATTAGAAAAACTGTTTTCCAGGTGTTGAAATGGTCTGAAATTAACAGAATGGTTTCACATTGTTTGGCTATTGTTTAAATATTGTTCTTAAAAATCCCAAAACATGTCTAATGTTACATGATATATTGTTCTGGTGATACAAATTCGAAACAAGTGCTGTGCTGTGTGACCGTTGAAATGTCCCTAGTATCATATAATGCATATTGGACTATGCAGTTGGCAGTGAGACCGTCTCATGAGTGAGGAAAGTTAGCAAACGATAGCAGTCTACTAATTCACAAATGCCTGGGAAATGCATGTTTATTAATGCATGGTTTTCGAGCAACAAATATAATGCATGGCTTGAGAGAGGCTGACCCTACCTGCGCTGGTGTAGGGTTTGTACCAAAGCATCAAGACACCCAAATGGCCGCTCAACAGACTGCCAGCGTCTGTGCATATTTCACACCTGCTGTAGCCAGGCCAAATAACGTTACCGCTTTGTGTCTACTGTATATGTAGCAATATGACCATATGCGCCCTATGATTGCTGTATAGGCCTCCCTTTTTTAAACTACTGCTACTACTACTTCAATGAAGTCGTGGAAAAGTTATGGAAAAGTTTTAAAAATTCATTAGTGTGGGAACTATGATACTTCAAACACTAGAAATCATATGAGACATTGTGTGTTTTAAAGCGTATGTGGTGTGGCTTTTCGTTAAGGTTATGATACAGTATGAAAGCCTGCAGGAGGGTGCACCCTAAAAGTTCTCACTATAAAGGGAGTAACCCACAAAAATTACAGGTATGGCTCAGTGTGTAATTATTTTGATGACACATGTACTATTATCGATACAGAAACTCTTCAACCAACACCCTGTTTTTGACATCATTTGTTGTTGTTTGATATTCTCTCATCTCCTAGCGACTGCAGCTATATCTGACCAAATGGGTGTGATTTGGAGAATGCCCAGAATGTTATTTCACTCGGCTCAGTCCAGGGAGAGGCTCACTATTGCATTCCACTCCTTTTTAAATCAGTGGGTGTGTGTGTCCAGGTAGGTGCCGACCTGTCAGGGCAGTGCGTGACACACAGGGTAGAGTCAACATCAGACTGCATCACTGATGAGGGCTGTGGAAAGTTCACACTGTATGGCCACCAGCGAGAGCCTTGACAAGTGTGATTCATACCAGGAATATTCCCCCGCAGCCACAGTGGTTCATCTGAGAGAGTGTGTGTATGTCTTTGCATCAAAGCTCTGCCTGAGCTTTCAGTTGGATGTACTGCGTCTGCTATGTTCATCAGCCATTCTTTTAGTATTAGCATGTTGGAGAGCCGGTGCTTGTTCATTTCAGCCTAGTGGATTTTGGCTCAGAGTTCAAGGAGAAGAAAAACAGTCTCAGTGAAGAGCTCTAGTGATTCAGGGAGGAGGTGAAGAGTTGATGTAGGTGGCCAGACATTTCATTATACAAAGGCTTAGTCAGCTATCTACGCAGTTAATCCAGCGCCATTCAGATCTCATGAATATTTAATCTCCATCACAGTACATATGGAAGCAACTTGTTTTTCCAAATGTTACATTCCTTGGAAACAGTGAGGTGTTAATTCTGCGATTAGCTTTGTTTGACATAATGACATTAATGGTTTCCTGCAATGTGCATATTTATTGGTGGGCTACTTTACTCTAAATGTTTAGCCAGCTGTGTATCCGGTCCACATAATGCATTTTTTTTTTTTTTTTTTTCATTTTAAGTGTGAAATGATAATATAACCGTCAGTGCTGGTTGCCAAACCTGTGCTGTAGTGACATGCTCATCAAAGTTAATGACTCATCAGGGGTTAGTCATAATTTTTGACACGTTCCATTAAATTACACATGTAGTTTCAGACCTGTGTTTGCAGGTTTCACTCCTTCAAGCTAAACTACCCGTAACTGCACGTTATGGGTTTGTTATGTCACATAAACATGCTAAATTGAAGATTGCACATCAGTTAGGTGTTATTGTGTCTATGAGCCTCAGCCTAAATAACACTCAGGTTCACCACCCCAGACCACCAGGGAGTTACGCTGAGGCTTGTAGCACGTGTCTTGTCTCATTACTAGTCAAGGACACAAACCTACAATACTGCTGCAGCTACACTCGTATGCAGCAAATGCAGTGCAACATTTTTTAGTTTTTTAAAGTTCTGCTATACATTAAGTATCCTAATTTAAGAATAACTGACAAACTGTTTCATTCAATATTTCAAAGAGTAGCATTATATATAAAAAAAAAAAAATTTTCAGCTTCACCAGAACTTTTAGATGAGCAACACAGATCTATGATTTTGACAAACTAGTTTTTAACCACAAGCACACAATCTATTATTGAAAACAGTTTGCAAATGAAACCCTCGGGCTCTGTGCATGTTGAAGCAATGAGCCTTGAATCCAACATTCGGAAAGGCCTGTTCGTCTCCTTCATACCTCCACTATCTCTTCTGCCTATAGGGACAATCTCTCAATCATGTGACAAGTGCCAAAAGGCCTTTAACATATAGAGTATATACATGACGGGCTTAGACTTTTCCCAAAGAGTGAGAATGTTCATATGGAACTGAAATACAGTCTGAGCCAAGGGATGCCTGAGCTCAATGTGTTTCGCTTTACCCTCCACACCAAGGTGTGCTTCATATGCAGAGTAGCAACACTGAGATTTGTTTATTTGAAAGACATGAACCCAAATAATAATAATAATGATGTGATACTCACAGAACGTTGTACCAGTACTAGGGTTGAAATGGTGAATGGTTTCATGATAAACTGGTTAGTATTACCTTTTTAAATCTGAATTATCATTAAAACTATATTTGATTATCATGCTTTGAAAAGCTCACAGTAAATACTGTCGAGCATCAACCAAAGTGAGCAACAGTCTTCCAGACGCCGTCACAACATTCTGTGTGGGTTTGTTTTGCTCTTCCGTTGTTTATGGAGCATGCACACGGCTGGCAAACCAAGTGATGTTTCCGCACATGCATTTCACAGATAGGCTGTCTTTGATGTTAACGCACATTTAGTATGGTTTATATAAGATATTGGCTACTTTTATTTTTAATGTTTATGCAAACAG